AAGAACTTAACCAAACATTGTATTCCTATTAAATGGCAAATAAAAATATATGCGAATTTAAGTTAAAAATTCGGGATTCTACATCCTCCCCTCCTTAAAATAATTTCGTCCTCGAAATTTACCTTAGATTAGTTGAAAAGTTTGGGATACTTGATTTTCATCTCATCTTCCTTTTCCCAAGTTGCTTCTTCCACTCCATGGTTACGCCATAGGACCTTGATTAAGGAAATATCCCTATTTCTCAGTACATGAACCTTTCTTTCTAGTATCCTCAATGGCATTTCTTCATAGGTCAAATCATGTTGTACATCTAAATTTTGATGGTTGATCACATGATTAGGATCCTATAAGTATTTTTGCAACATTGATATGTGAAAAACATTATGCACTGCTGAAAGTTATGGTGGCAGTGCCAGTCTATATGCCACATCTCCGATTCTTTCTAACACATCGAATGGTCCAATGAATCTTGGTCTTAATTTTCCTTTCTTTCCAAATCTAAGTACTCCCTTCATTGGAGCTACTTTTAGAAATATCTTGTGACGAACTTGGAACTTGAGATCTTTTCTTCTTCTATCGTCATAGCTTTTCTGTCTGTCTTGAGCAACCTTAATTCTGTCTCGAATCTTTTCCACGGCCTGTACGGTTCGATCTATGATCTCAGGTCCAAGAATCCTCCTTTCTCCAATCTCATCCTAGTAGATAGGTGATCTACACTTCCTACCGTATAGTGCCTCGTAAGGTGCCATGCCTATAGTTGCTTGAAAGCTATTGTTATAGGCAAATTCTACTAAAGGCAAGTGTGATTCCCAGCTACCACCAAGACCTAGTACACAAGCTCTTAACATATCTTCAAGTATCTAAATTGTCCTTTCGGATTGTCCATCAGTCTGTGGGTGATATGCAGTACTAAATTTCAGTTTTGTTCCCATAGCATTTTGTAGGCTTTTCAAAAATTTTGACGTGAATCTCGAGTCTCTATCTGAAATAATAGAAACAGGAACCCCGTGTAACCTGACTATTTCATTGACATAAATCTGTGCATATTGCTCCATGGTAAATGTCATCTTAACTGGAAGAAAATGGGCTGACTTTGTAAGACGATCCAGTATTACCCAGATAGCGTTGTTCCCTTTAGCCGATCTCGGAAGTCCTACCACAAAATCCATGGTAATGTGTTCCCATTTCCACTCCGGTATATCTAGTGGTCTAAGTAACCCTGAAGGTCTCTGATGTTCAGCTTTTACTTGCTGACAGATGATACATTTACTTACAAAAAGTCCTATTTCTCTTTTCATATTCCTCCACCAAAACGTATTTCGAAGGTCTCGATACATTTTTGTACTTCCTGGATGTGCTGTATAAACAGTAGAGTGTGCTTCTTCAAGAATTTCTTTCCTTAATCCCTTATCTTCAGGAACACATATTCTGCCTTTATACATAAGTATCTTATCATCAGTTATCGCAAATCCCTCTTGCTTATCTGTCCCAATTCCAGCCATGATTTTACACAAAAATGGGTCATCCTTTTGAGCTTCTCTAATCCGTTCTCTAAGAGTTGGTTGAACCATTAGAGCCGCAACAATGGCTGACTTCTGTACCGAAGGTGTAACCACCTCTAGCCTCAAATTTTCAAATTCCTTAGCTAACTCTTTTTGAGTAGTTGGAAATGTCAACTTTCCAGCTATCTTTCTACTCAAAGCATCAGCAACTACGTTAGCTTTACCTGGGTGGTAAAGAATGGTGCAGTCATAGTCTTTAACCAACTCTAGCCATCTCCTTTATCTCATGTTTAGCTCCTTTTGAGTGAAGAAGTACTTGAGACTTTTGTGATCGGTGTATATCTCACATTTACCGTCATATAGATAGTGACGCCATATTTTTAGTGCGTGAACTACTGCTGCGAGTTCTAAGTCATGAGTTGGGTAACTCTACTCATATGGTTTCAACTGTCTAGAGGCATAGGCAATGACCTTTCCATGTTGCATTAACACACATCCCAAACCTTGTTTAGAAGCATCACTGTATATAACAAAACCTTCGGAATCATCTGGTATTGTTAATACTGGTGTTGAAACCAATCTTTGCTTTAATTCTTGAAAACTGCTTTAACACTTATCCGACCATTGAAACTTTACTCCTTTTCTAGTTAATTGTGTCAGTGTTCTAGCTAT